TTGTTGTATTCTAGCTGAAGGTTTTCAGGCTGGAAGCCCCAGTAGAAAAAGTGCCAGATAAGCAACTGATAAAGCATTTAATAATATGACAGTGTGTGAGAGAGGTTACTTCACTTTTTTTTTTTTTTTTTTTGAGTAACTGATACTTTTCATTTGGCTTCTCTTCAGATTTGGAACAGAACTCCAAACTTCAAAGTTTCCCACAAAAGCCTGGGAAGCCTGGAACCCTTTTGATAAGTTGGCACATTGCTTAAAAGCCCTGAGGTCCCCACCAGGCTATGGTGTGAGCTGCTGAGCAGTATGAGGGATGGCAGCAACCTTGAAGGAAGACAGGTTTTCTGGTGACAGTCTGATTGAACTGGTAGAACTGAGGAAGGCCATAGGCAAATTTTTCAGAGAAAATTTGCAAAAAAACAGAGAAAAATCCATCTCTACAAAATGTTTAAATTTAGAAAGCAGCAGCTTTCTGCCAAAGAAAGGATTTCAGTTTAATATTTTCCAAATTGCTCTCGTAGACACTGCAGTTTCTGAATAATGTGAATAATATTTTCTTTTACAAAACCTATTCAGCTTAAATATGAATAACTAAAGTTGGGAGCTCTGTAATGGCATTACATTACTGTCATCTCCAGGAGTTAATTACAATGAGCAGTCCCACCCACTTTTAGAAGCAGATAGACAGGAGGAGAATGGAGACCTTCGGAGCTGGGAGAAATGAAGCGATGTAAGCGAAGGGAGAAGCATAAATGCTGAAACAAGCACTTCTGTGTTAAGCACACCTGGGAGTTGCGGGAATGGAGATACCAGAACCCTGCCCTGGGAGTTAACATGGTTTAGAGTTATTTAAAATAAGGTAAACAATAAAGGGCAGGCTAGATGCGCAGATAGGCATGCTTAATGCTAAGCTACTTGGCAGATGCAGCCTGCCTCAGCATTTGGAAATGAATTGCTTGGGCTCTGTAAACACTTCAGCAAAGGGAAAGTGATTATATGGTGGGTGATAACTTGAAGCAGCCTTTAAAAAGAAATCAGATTGAGAGAAATATAAGAAAGAATGATACAGAGGTTAAGAGCCATAGTGAGAAAACAGCTCTTGCTTTCCTTTTTCACTTCTCCTCCCCCTTCTCCTCCCAGCTCCTGCTGCTATGTCAATAGCAGTGGGTGGCTTACAACAAATACTTTCAAAAGTCAGTCCTCCCTGCTCTGCTCCCAGAGCTTGGGCAAAGAGCAGGAGAAACCCCTTGCAGCTTCTTGGGGGACTTGGAAGGGGCATACCACCCCTGCCACACTCACACTGGTTCGTTACAAGTGAACATCACTGGTAGGATCCCAGATTCCTTATGATATGTACCGTATTGAGAGGAAAGCAGAAGCCTGTGGCAGTCACTTACCATGATCAATGGCTTGTTTGGTTGTTTTAGCTTTTTACCACTCTTTTTGATTAAGAGTACCAATTAGAAAAATCTCTAAAATTAGTTTTCTCTGCATTTTGAAGCTGGCTGTAAACAGAGTTGGGGTTTTTTTTTTAATCCTTTAAGTTTACGTAAAACTTGCAGAGACAGTAGTCTCTAGAGCTTGTTTCTGCCTGCCAGAATTAATAAGTACTTTGTCATAAAAAAGCCATTCACTGGATATTAAATTACTCGTGGGTACCATTTAGAGAAACAGACTGCCAGTAACTCACGTCCAGTTAGGTAAGAATCTGTGGAAGAAGAGAATGCTGAAAAGGTAAACCTCTGTATTAATAAAAGCTGGAAAACTACCCAGTATTGACTTTTTTCCTTATTGACTTAGACTGAACCCTCAGAATGTGAAAGAAAAGGCCAAACTCAGACTTTCCAAGTAGCTTTCTAATTGCCAGTTGTTTAAAATGAGAAGATAAGGCAGAAAAAAAAATAAAGCTTACATCTCAGAGTTACTGTTGCTAGACTTTTTGCACTCTTTAAAAGTAAAACATAGTCTTTGACAGGAGGATGCATGTCCCATTCTCCTCTTGCATAATTTCAGCAGCATAACTAAAAGGGGTGGTTGTGTACTGCCTCCTTTTTTTGCACCAAAAGAAGACAAAATTGTTTATCCTCAGCACCAGAGGAAATCAAAACCAGAAGTCCTATATTTACTGGGGGACTGAGACAGAACTGATGTTGCTCTTTTCCGTGCTGCTTCCTGTCATAATTATTTCCATTCTCTTTTGTGAATGTACTGCATGGTGGAGGGTTGTGTGTGGAGAAGTACAATAACCCAAAGCACCTTGGTGCTCTCACACTTGTAGACTTTCTGAGATGCCTTCTGCCCAAACGTGGCACTGACGGTCACATTTCCAAACTATTTCATCTCTATGCTAGTGATATGGAGGATAGGATATTCTGTTTTCAAAATGATCTAGCCAGTACCACGTTAGCCTTTTGAAAGTATCTGTCCTGCAGTAGCTGTTTCTTGAATTATGAGAGGTGTTGGTGCAGTTTCTGTCCCACAGTGCCTGCTGTAATGTGGATTTCCAGAAGTAACATCACTGGAGGAACTGAAAAGCTCTATTTTTGTAAGACTTGCTCATGATTCTGGATTATAACAGTGTCCTACATTACTTTGGAGAGAGATTTAAAAATATTGGAGTGAAAAAAAAAGCAGGAAAAGTCTGTGAATTTGGACTTTGTTAAAGGGGAAATAACCAGACTCTGTTTTCGTATAGATTTTTTTAAAAACAAGCTCAACTCAGATCATAATAATACAGGGTCAAGTATTCTGCTGTGACAGGCAATGATGCTGTACAACTCTGTCCACGAATGTTTCTGTCTCCTTCTGCCTCCTTCACATCCCTTACTGTTTGCCTCACTTTCAATTCTCCAGGTGCATCGGCTACCTGTGCAGGACTGCCACAAGTATTCAGACTGTGAGAAGTGTACTCAAGCGAGGGATCCGTACTGCGGCTGGTGCGTGAGAGAGGGCAGGTGAGTGCTGCTGGTGCTTTTTTGGGTGCAGTCAGTGGAATAGCTCAGATTTTGACATGTGCTGTGTGTTATGGCTCAGCATAGTGATCCCAGCTTTTTGTTCTTAGCCTTATGCTCCTGCTAGTGAATTCATTTTATCATGTAGACATTGATATCAATCTTCTGTGCACACAAATAAGTCCCTGTTGACTTCTGCAGATCTGATTAGTTTAGGAAAAGATACACTTTTCTGCTGGTACTGAAAATCAGTATACATCTAACTACATGTTTTATCACTCTCTAAACTGCACAGTCAAATGTTTTCCCAGAAATTAAGAGAGTGCTCCCTATTTAAAATTCAGAAAATGTAGCATATATTTTAAGTAGAACAGGAAAGTGTAAAAAAAGAGCATAAAAGAAAAAACTGTTCATGTCTGAAGTAAAGTATATAGCTCAAACACTGTTTTTATATAAACATCATCTATCAAGACGTGTAGCTACACTGAACCCTCACCTAGCTGTAGGAGAGCAGAAAGTGGCGTTTGGCTGACTACCCGCAGAGGTTAAGTGAATTAATATTCAAACACATGTAAAGTAGGACAGCACTGAACAGCTCTGGAATGTCTCTTCTTTGCACTC